GGGAGAGAAGGCGCCCAGCTGGGTCCAGCGCACCCACAGCTCCTCGGACGTGTCGCCCACGAAGCCACAGATGTCAGCACCCACCAGCGGCACCCCGAAGAGGTTGAAGAGCAGCACCTCTGCAGAAGGGGTGCAGAGGGCATCGGGGCTCCGTGGTGCCTCAGGCATGGAGCCCACGGAGAAGCCACCAGCTGCGGGGGAGGCGCAGCGGGGGAAGCGGGGACAGAGGCAGCCCCAGCACCCCGCACCCTACCTGGTACGGAGTAATACAGCTGCTCCCAGTTGCTGCCGACATCCCCTGTCCAGTGCCCCGCGTAGCGCCCGTGCCCAGCGAACGTGGAGCGCGAGATGACGAAGGGGCGCTTGCCCCGGACCCTCAGCAGCGCACTGTGGGCAGGAGGGGGTCAGCTCAGCACCACCCAGCCGGGGAAGGGGCTCAGCCCCCCACCAGTGGCTCCCAGCAGCAGCACAGAGCTGGCACATGCCAGGGCAGACGCCCAGGGCCATCTCGCCCATGGGGCAGGTGACAGGGGACAGTGCGCAGGACACAATCGCCCAGCCCAGGAGCCAGCACGGCCCCACTGCACCAGCTCCAGCCCGGGGGCTGCTTCCAGCTCCTTCCAGTGCCGGGCTGGCAGCAGCAGGCAGCACACTAGATTATAAACCAAACCCTCGCACACCCACCAAATGCCCTGAATGCCCAAACTGCCCACGCTGCAGCATGGGGAGGGGTCTCTCCCCTGGGATGTGCATCTTCTGGGACAGGAGCTGTGGCATGAGCCCCAGGCTTACTCGTGGGAGGCGATGGCCTCGGTCAGCCCGTACAGGCTGTGCAGGTTGTAGTGGGAGGACAGGTACTGCTGGCTGGAGGCACAGATGGTCCCGGCTTTGAGGCGTCACCCAAAAAAGATGGTCCCGGCTTGGAGGCGTCCCCCAAAAACACCTGCACAGGGAGGCAGCGGGGAGGGAGAGCTCGGAGTCTGCTTGTCTGGGACCAGAGCATCACCCGGGCTCCTTCCAGGGCTCCCCGCACCCCTGGGCAGAGGCTGGTACCTGATCCCCGTACCTGGCACGTAGAGGGGTTGCTCCAGGCTGTTGTTGGGGCAGCCGTCCTGGGAGCCCTCCACGAAGTTCGACGGCTCGTTCATGTCCTGAGGAGGGAAGGGAAGGGGAGAGAATGGACGCCCTCGCTGCCACACCAGGGCCCAGCAGAGGTGCAGGGCAGGAGCTGGGGAGCTGCAGCCGGCAGCTCTGCCAGGGCCACTCACAATCCACATGCCATCGAAAGGCACTTGGTCGTGGAAGTCCTTCACCATGTCGTGCCACCACTCGTGAGTCTCTGGGTTGGTGAAGTCCGGGAAAACCGTCGGGCCCGGCCAGAACTGTGAGAAGGAGGCAGCACTGGGCAAAGCCCTGCTGTCCCCAACCCGCTGCACCCCACAGCCCCCGCCCCACTTTCCACCACGGCCATTTCCTGGGTGTTTCCCTCTGGCTCTCGGGGCCCTGCTCCCACGGCCCTGCTCAAGCCCATTCCCGGGGAGACCAGGGCTGCTCCTCGCACGCACCTTCCCGATCAGGGGCTGCCCTGTGGCGTTTCGGATGAACACCCCTCGCTTCAGTCCCCCG